TGCCCCCCCCCTTCCCTCTCCCAGCATTATCCTGCCCCTCCCCCCAGTGACAGCTTCCCACCGCTCCCCCGCTCCTCCTGCCCTTTTCCCGCTCTTTTCCTCACCGGCAGAGGGGCCCTGACTCCCCTCAGACAATAACACCCCCCCCACACACAGCGATTAACGGGGGGGCAGGTTAATTTCCCACTGACCCCAGGGATCCGCCCCTGCCCCCGGCCCTGACTCTGTGACTCTCTCCCCAGTGGACGTGAAGCTGGATCCAGACACGGCTCATCCCAACCTCGTCCTGTCTGAGGATCGGAAAAGTGTGAGACTCGGAGACACGCACCAGGATCTGCCCGACAACCCGGAGAGATTTGAGAAATATCCCATTGTCCTGGGCGCCGAGGGGTTTGTGGGCGGGAGGCGTTACTGGGAGGTGGAGGTGGGAGACAAGACTAAGTGGGACTTGGGGGTCTGCAGGGAATCTACGAGCAGGAAGGGGGAGTTCACCCACAAAGACTACTGGAGACTCACGCTGAGGAATGGGAATCAATACTCTGTCTCTCCTACTACCCTCCCCATGAGCACCAGGCCCAGCCGGGTGGGGGTTTTCCTGGACTATGAGGCTGGCGAGGTCTCGTTTTACAATGTGACTGACAGGTCCCATCTCTTCACCTTCATCGACACCTTCTCTGGGACGCTCCGCCCGTATTTCTACCCTGGGGGCACCAACGCGGCTCCCCTGACCATCTGCCCGGTGCCAGCCCAGGCCAGAGGGAATCCTTGCCCCTGATACTGACCCTGCGGCACCGACTGGCCCCTCCCAGCGCTGCTGTTCCTCCCTCCAGTAATGGGAGCTGGATACTGCAGGTACCTGGATGTTTTGTGCCAACCGGTCGCTGCCCCTTTCCCTTTGTAACTGGAGCCTCCAGTGGAAAACCGGACACCTGGCAGCCCAGCCCAGGCTGGGTGAATAGGACCCCCTGGCTGGAAAGAACCCAGGCTGCCTTTCCCCCCGCCCTGGCTTTGCTCCACCCCAGCACAGGGTGAAACTGCTGCGAAATGTGGTCAGACAGTGCTGCCCTCACCTTGCCCCATCCCCTACCCCAGAGGGAGCAGATGGTGGGGGAGGGAGAAGGGGACTTTCACTCTTGTCCGAATTTTCTAACGCTGTGACATCTCAATGTCAAATATGAAGGGAAAAAATGGATGCAGGAACCTTTTCTTTTACATTTCAGCAGCTTTTTATTAAAAATCTATTTTTAGAAATGGAATGATTGACCTTTATTCTTCCCTCATGTCGATATCAACGTTTGACGTGTTTACATTTGTATACATCGTGTGTATTTCAGCTGCGGCACTTTGAGAAATCCAAAACATTTCTCCGCACCCAATTCATTATGGCATTGTCAGACTGTTCAGTGACAATGTCCATGTGTCATAACCAGCACAGCGACATGTGTGTGCAGCTGCTCCCTCGCTCTCTTGTCTTGACTGGCTTTCTCTAGAAAGCAGGGCTCATACACCCCCTCCTGCGCTGTGCCTTCAAACATTCATAGGTGAAAAAAACCACAGAATGAATTAACCAGTCTAATTAGATCCACGTGATTTCATAACATTCTTTGGGCTTTTGGCTGCATTAATTCATGCGATTTTCAACTTTCTAATACATATCATTAGTAATTGAGATATGACCCCTCCCTGCCTGCTCCTGCATCAATTAACACCACACAGTCCCCAACCTCACATCCTGTCTTCCTCTCCATAGAAATCTCTGCTGCAATAACCTCTTTTTAGTTTATTTTATTCACAGTCGATGTACTGTCAGTGTCCGCTGTTGATTTCAGTGAAGTGTTGGGCTCTTCATGTCCTTGGTTATAAAGACACAACAAATGTAGTTCGGTAAAGAAACAGAGAAGGGATCCTTTTACTGAGTCATCACAAATTAACTTAATTGTATTGAAGACACTGGCACATAATGACACATAACATGGAATTTGGTGAAGCTGGCTTTCTTCCCAGCCATAAATCAATGGAAAGGATGATACTTTTGCTGTCATACCATACGTTTAGAGTATGTCTACACCGCAGTGTTATTTTGACATGTCGAAATGCTGGTGAGCTGGAGGACTTCCTACTCCAACTCCTGTAACCTTCGTTTTAGGAGGCATAAGGGAAGTCAGAGGAAGAGAGCTCTTTCTCAAACTTCCTCCTGCTGTGCAGACAGCGCCAAAAGCTGAGTGAAGCGATTGAGACTGCAGCAACACAATTGACATAGCTCAAGTTGTGTCGCTGAATTCGGCTCTAGTCCTGCTGTGCAGATCTGCCCTTAGTACAGGGGTGGGCAATCATTTTTGATGGGGGGGGGGCACTCTAAGATTTTGGAAAGTGGTCGAGGGCTGCACTTTTCCATGCTATTAATGGAGGAGGTGCAGGGTCCGGGATGGAGGTGCGGTGCACAAGGGAACTTGGGGTGAGGGATTGGGATGCAGGAGGGAGACGATTCTGGGAGGGAGTTGGGATGAGACTAGTTGTGATCTAGGACAAGGGACTGGAGTGCAGGGGTTTGGGATGTGACCTGGGTCGAAGGGGATTGTGACTGGGACAGGAGATTGGAGTACCAGACCAGATCTGGGAGGGGGTGTGGGTGTAAGAGGGGGACAGAGGGTTTGGGTATGTTGCGGGGGTCCCAGATGCAGGCTGTGGCCAAGAGACTTACTTGCCAGCTGCCAAACTGGCCTGCCAGCCTGCAGAGCTTAAAATGCTTCCCAGCCAGCTGGCTGGCCTGCCTGGCCATGTGCTTCATAAATAACTGAGCCCAGGAAAAGGGGCACACTTCTGCTTGGCTGCCTGTTACTCCAACAAACAGCTCCCATTGGCCGGTTTCTGCCTGAAACTGGTCAATGGGAATGTGCTGGGGGGCAGGCCAACTCCTAAAACTTCCCCCGCGGGGGTCCCAGATGCAGGCTGTGGCCAAGAGACTTACTTGCCAGCTGCCAAACTGGCCTGCCAGCCTGCAGAGCTTAAAATGCTTCCCAGCCAGCTGGCTGGCCTGCCTGGCCATGTGCTTCATAAATAACTGAGCCCAGGAAAAGGGGCGCACTTCTGCTTGGCTGCCTGTTACTCCAACAAACAGCTCCCATTGGCCGGTTTCTGCCTGAAACTGGTCAATGGGAATGTGCTGGGGGGCAGGCCAACTCCTAAAACTTCCCCCCTCTCCTCCAGTTTTAAATAGAAACAGAGCCCTGCACGGCAAGGGGCAAGCTGGGGAGTCTGCCTGGGGCTCCCTGCTGCTTCCGCAGGCTGGATCCAGTGCCTTGGCGGGCTGTATCTGGCCTGCAGTTCGTATTTTGCCCAGGCCTGCCTTAGTGTGGTGGTGAGTTGTGTGGTGCATCACACAGCAGCAACAGTTACAAGGTGCTCTCTCCTGTGGCCTCCCCAGGCTTTATGAAAATCAGCTTCTGACTATGAACATGCATAACCCAAAGATGCTTTAGACTCGGTGCCTCCTGTTACAGATCGATCTGACACTTGCGACCTGCGGAATCAGTGTGTCCTCTGTGTGTGCCTGTATCATTCTTGAATGTGAAGCTAGACAGATGAAATGTGAATCTGGTTTTAATTCTCAATGTGCTAATGAAGAAAGAAAGAAAGAATTGGGTTCTTCCCATGTGCTTTTTTGTCCCAGCGTCTCTAGGGGAGCAGGAGGTGCAGAGCCACAAAAAACAAACCACTTGCGTGAATCTTGATCCAGCTCACGGTGAGCAATCGAGGAGAAAGTTACCCAAATTCACCTTTGTTTTTAAAACACAAATCTTGAAGGGAAATGAGGGCTGGGGCCCAGCAGCTTTCTGCCCCAGCAGGGCTGGCTTTTGGGGAGAGCAAATAGGCGGGGAGGGAGGGCCCTTAGCCCCTGGGGGCAAAGGGAAAATCCCCCGGCCTTCTAAGCAAGCACTCTGCCACTTGAGCTAATTCCTCCCCCTGTGAGCAGTGCTCCTGTCCCACCCACCTTGTTCCAGAGCCCACAATGTCCCTGCAGCTGCCCCATGTTCCTTTCTGAGACGGCCACTTGTGGAGCTGTTTGCTGTGGGCCGGCGAGCTTGAGCGTGGTGTTTATCATGTCAGGGTGGTGTGTTCGAGTACTGGACACTCTCAGCAACACAGCCTGTCTTCATTCAGCTGACTGCCATGGCCAGCTGGCCCCAAACAGAGACAGGTTAAGTGGTTTGTAGAGAGCAGTATGGGTGGGACTAGGGCCTAGGATGTGCAGGGCCAGCCTGTGAGGAGGGGGCTCTGGCCTCCTCCTTTCCTCCCTCTCTCAGCTACTTTTTTCAGTGGGGGCTGGCCAGCTGCCTTCCCCAGTAGCAGGCACAACTCTTGTCCTGCCTCCACTGTCCCCAGTGGGGTGACCTGATGGCCCAAATTCATGCTCCTGCTGTCTCTACCCCAGTGCGCCCTGTGGGGGGCCAGTTCCCCAGCCCAAGCCACAGAGGGAGGCTCCATGATTACTCCCTCAGGCTAAGGGAGAGCCATAAGAGGGGGCCTGGGCCTTCCCTGGACACCAGCTGCCCAATGCACAGAACCAGTCCCACCCCACCCCCAACACCTCCCACAGGCAGGAGCAGCAGGACAATGCACCCAAGGGTACCAGCTCTCCTGTTGCCCTGGGACGCAGTAACGATTAATTTAAATCTAATATTAGATGGCCAGTTCCCCAGCCCAAGCCACAGAGGGAGGCTCCATGATTACTCCCTCAGGCTAAGGGAGAGCCATAAGAGGGGGCCTGGGCCTTCCCTGGACACCAGCTGCCCAATGCACAGAACCAGTCCCACCCCACCCCCAACACCTCCCACAGGCAGGAGCAGCAGGACAATGCACCCAAGGGTACCAGCTCTCCTGTTGCCCTGGGACGCAGTAACGATTAATTTAAATCTAATATTAGATGCGCCCTGACTTGTAGTGCAGATGGTAAATATCCCAAGTCCTAGAAGACGGTATTGCCGATGACTCGTGGCCGTATCTATCACCGGCGCGTGGTTTTCCAAATAAAACTCCGAGTCACAGTTTGGGGCCAAACCATATATTATAAATTTAAGATACAGAACAGCATGTAACAATAACTCTATAATCCTCCCTATCCCTGAAGACAAAGTAGATAGTAAAGACCCCTAAACAATAGGGCTACGTCTACTTTGAAGTAAGAATAAGAGCCTCCGGAAAAGGGCACTTTTTCCGGAGGATCGGAGCCAGTCTAGACGCTCTTTTCCAGCTTTTTTAAAAGCCGGAAAAAAGCGGCGGACATTTTTATTTAAATGCCGCGGGGGATATTTAAATCCCCCGCGGATTTCCCTACGACGACTAGTGAAATTTACATGCCCCTTCCGGAAAAGGGGCCAGTGTAGACGTAGCCTCCGACTATACATTACATTCACGTGGCCTAGAACAGCTGAGGCGCTCACGACCTCTATGCCTTGACTAGTTGCAAGCCGAGGCAGAGGAACAGTGAGGGGATCCCTCGATGTCACTTCAGGATCAGACCCTCTGGTTTGATGATGGATGGGATATGGACTATAAAGTCGAAGGCCTTCCGCTCTCCGGTAATAATCCAATGGGGTCCAAATGGTTGTCACCCAGGAAGTCTCCACAGGCATAAAAAAACCAAAAATAGAACCCACCACACTCACACAAACACTACACTGACTAAGCTCACACTCTCTCACTCATTCTACCATTTACGCTACCACAGAGAGACATTCTACAGAACCAAACGCAATCAGGAACCCAGCAAGAAAAAGGGAACCTGAACCGCTACTGAACTGGGGTATTTAAGCACTCTCCGGCGGGAAGATTCCAAAGGTGCTGAGTGCACTCTTTTGGGGGTGAGGTGCATAACATTTTGAATCGTGTACAACTGTTTTGAGCCGAGTGCAGAACAATTTGGTACCAAGTGCAAAAAATTAGAATGGGGTGCAGAGCACTAGTACCATGTGCAATTTGGAAAGGCAGGAAACTTCCAACTGGCAAACTTCCTTGGTTCGAACTAAGATAGATGGTTCGAACCAACTGCCTGAGTCTGGTTTAATCAGGACTCATAACACACTACTTCACCATTTCCCATCCACACAACCAATAAACATACAAGCTGAGGTAACATCACTGCGCCATGCCGGCCACCAGCCACCTTGACCAAACCTCAAAGCATCTGGACTAGTGAGCCCACATCACAATGTGT